CCTGCCAAATTACGGCCGTAATTAGCCAGGGCATGCCCGTAATTTATTGGCCGAGCCTTCTACCCAGAATTCCCTCGCGGTGATAAAATTACGGGCAAGACCCCAAGAATTACGGCCGTAATTCCCAAATTACTGGCGGTAATTGGGAAATTACGGGCGTAACTTCTCCTCCTGCAGCTTAAGTGAAACGCGCGTTTTGGTGCGAATTACGGGCAGGACGTGATTACGGCCGTAATTCTGCCCGTAATTCGCCCAGAGTCGGGTTTTTGAAGGCAGATTCGAGCAACAGAAGAGGAGAGCTGGGTTTTGGATCCCAAACACCCAAGGGACGAACCCTAGAGAGAGAGAGCGACTTGGAGACATTCTTGGAGCTATTTTGGAGGATTTCTTCGCCATTGGAGCTCGGGAATCAAGCTTGGAGATGGAGATTGAAGATCTAGATCAGATTTCTGCAGTCTCTCTCTTCTCTATGGAGTAACTTCCCTTCACTTAGGTTTTGAGGAACCCTAGTTTCATGAGCTAGGATCTTTCTTGTATGAAGTTTTGGATGCTATATTGTTTGATTATAATCGAATGATGCATGTTTGTTGAGTCAATTGAAGTCTGATCAACTTTTCCTGATTTCTGCTGCAACCTGAGATAGATAGAATCTGATTAGGTTGTTAGAGCCTCTTCATTCGATAGTAGGAGATTGGCTATACGAGAGTTAGCCAGTTTACTGCTTTGTACTGGAATCTAATTCCAGTAGTGGAGTTCTGTTCTTACTGCTTCAGCTTTCTACCCCGGTGAAGGTTAGTCGCCTGCCGGGTAGTTAGACTGAGAGGGCTTGGTCAGCTTAAGAGATTCCAAGCTACTGTCGGATCTTCCGCAGTGTAATCAACAGTAAAACAACCAAAAGGAATTACAACTTGGACCTAATTGAGGAGCTAGGGGGAATCATACCTAAGTGAGTTCCCAAACTGTAATTAGTAGTTTTACTTAGTTTAGTTAGTAGAGTAGTTTAGTTGATCAATCCTTAATCTAGTTTGCTAGATAATGAACTGAAGCTGAGTAATAGTAACTCTAGAGACCCGTGGATTCGATATTTATTACTTGTGCCACTATACTGCAGTCCCATTCTGCGATTACACTTGGTCGCAGTTTGGTGTTGTGTTTTGGCGTGTCACCGATCCTGATATCGTAATCTCTAATACCGAATAACACTCGAAATTATAAAAGAAAACACTCGAAATTCAATCCCAATCACAATCTAAAAAAATAATACGTGTATTCGGTAATACGAATATTGATAAATTTGGTACAGTATTCGGATTATGCCAAGTACCGATATCAAACTTCCAACCCTAAGTTTCACTATACTTGAAAATAATACAATTACATACCATATCCAAATAAGACGATTTATATCTGGATCCCAACTTGCCAACTGGGCAACAAAATTCCGTGACTTCCAGACTCCAGTCGACAACTTATAATCTGTTTTCAAATCATAACAACAATTATAATTGGATATGATGTTAAAAGTGAGTCATTTCATGATAGCTAATTGGTTTACTAACAAGTTGATCTCGCAATTCGGGTGGATTTTATAATAAATAACAATTTAGTGACTAATTTCCTTATGAACATAAAGCTTAGTGAATCATGACAATTTTTTCCAATTTACCCCAAAAATTGTCAATTTGATGTGACCATGCCCTTTTTCATTCCAAATTGCTTCCCTCCCTTTTTCTTATTCCTCCCAAATTCTATTGTCTTCTTTGATTTCTTCTAATCAAGTCACCTTCGACGAAGGTGGGTTAAAACTTAAAAATACTGCTATTAGCCTAATACTTCGATGTAGACAACATATTAAACTAATTTAATCTACAATCCGCATTGATTATTTTTCATAAGAAGTGGATTACATTCATAAATCGGAGATTACAACAGGCTTTCTTGTCTAAGTGAAATGCATTTTCACTGTTGTCACAATTTTTTAATAGAAGGGTTGGTGCAAAAGTGACCACTTGTTCCAATTTTTTCTTTCTATATGGTTTATTTTCTTCATCCTATCATGAAGATTTGCGGCTTTTAAAAAATAATTGTGATTGGAATAGTAACGCACGTGTAGCAGTTAATATAAAATTTTACTGACGCCTATTTCTTTGAGCATCTTTTTGTTTTGTACTGAATTAACCAAAGATAGTAGGAATGGTTTACACTATGTTTGACAACAAGTGGTGCAAAGTTTGAGAGATGTAAGTTGAGTGGTAAATTACTGGACGAATTTGGTGGGGTGTAAGTGGAGGGGTAAATTATTGTTTGGATGAAAAAGTAGCAGATACAAATAAAGTAAAAAGTAAATAATTATATTATTATAAAATAGATTTATCAAATTTATAAAATATTACCACAAAATAGTATAAATAAAAATTAATATATCATAATAAAAATAATTATATTATAATAATGCTCAAATAATAATTAATTATAACAACACTAATATTTACATGTCTTCTAGATAAATCTGCTAATGATGGGTACTTTCCGTTCCACCCACAGTGCAAGAAAATCAAACTTACACATCTTTGTTTTGTGGATGACCTTCGGGTCTTATCTAATGCATCTAACTGTGGAATCCTGGAACTTCAGAGGGTTCTCAGTCAATTTAGAATGGTCTCAGATCTGAAATCAAACCCTAGTAAATGTGAGGGGTTTTTTTTCTGGGTTAGATCGTGAGGAAAAAGGTATAAGGACTTCCAGATATGGCTATCAACTTGGAGAGTTTCCAGTGAAATACTTGGGGGTTCCCCTCATTTCAGGTAAACTCAGTCTTGCTGCTTGCAAGCCTCTTATTGACAAACTGGTGGCTAAAGTAAGAAGCTGGCAAGTAAAGACACTGTCTTATGCAGGAAGAATCGAGCTAGTATGAAATGTACTGTACAGTTTGACACAGTTTTGGATGTCAGTGTTTTTACTCTGATCCCAAAGGCTATTATTAAAGAGGTTGAACAGATTTGTAGTAGATTCATTTGGGGGTTGAGACTAGAACAAAGTTGAAAGTTAATATGGTCTGGCATAAATTGACTTTCCCAAAGAAAGAGGGGGGGGGTTCCTCCTACTTAGGGATATGAGCAGTTGGAATGTAGCTTGCATGGTAAGGCATATCTGGCTTATACTATTGAAAGAAGGTTCTCTATGGGTAGCTTGGATATATGCTTATAAACTCAAAGAGCACAACTTATGGGATTATACATGTAGAACTAGATCATGGAACTGGAAGAAGATCATTAAAATCATATCTAGAGTTAATAACTTGCTTTCTCTAGATAATGACACAGTTCTGCTAAATGGTGTTCCACTGAATTCATTCTCGATCAAGAAGGTTTGGGAGTTTATTAGGCCTACTCAGCAGATAATTCCCTAGTTGAAACTTGTGTGGAAAGGGCAGGCTATCCCAAGAAACGGGGTGATCTCCTGGTTGATTGTTAAGGGCTGTATTAATACAAGAAGAAGGATGCTAAAATGGGGATATCAGGGTCCTTTGAGTCGATGTCTTTGTGATTAGGGATGGCAATGGGTCTGGTTGGGTCGGGTTTTTCCAAACCCAAACCCAAACTCATGGGTTTATCCATGAAAAAAACCCGGGGTAAAACCCACTGGGTTTGAAAAACTCAAACCCAACCCAACCCGCTGGGTATCCGCGGGTTCATGGGTACCCACGGGTTTTTGTCGTAAAAAATTTATAATAACAAGTTCCTATCAAAATCAAAGTCAAATATCAATCTCTCAATACAAATTATCCATATTTAAAACACCATTCTAGAAAATTCAAGCAAATCACAAATTAACTATACAAATTGTTCAACACCAATCTAGAAAACTCAAGAAAATTGAAGCAAATGACAAATTATCCATAAATAACATGATTAATTGAAAGCTTCTTCCTTTCAATTAAGTTTCTTCACTCTCCACTAGATAACATCAACTTCATTCTACACAATTAGAAAGAAAAAATTAGACATGTCTCTACAAACATAAATAAGATTAGTTGTTTAGAATATTAAATATACAGAGAAAATCAATTATATGGGTGTGGGCGGGTACCCATGTGTCGGGTTTACCTAAATTCAAACCCAACCCAACCCGATGAATAGTGAACGGGTTTAAAGCCAAACCCGGCCGAAAACCCGTCAACACGGATTTTACCCGCGTTGACCGGGTTGGATCGAATGGGTACCCGTGGGTTCGGGTTTTGTTGTCATCCCTATTTGTGATACAGGTCTGGAGGACAGAGAGCACCTGTTTACAGACAGTATTTACTCAAAAACTTTGTATGATGGGCTTCTAAGTAGATCATTGAAGAGTACTCTTAGGCTTGGCTGGGATGGTGCAATGACCCACTGGAATGCTAAACTTTCTGTTGTTACTGAGACTGCTGAAGTTGGGAGATTGATTTGGTAGTCCTGGTTGAGCCACATATGGCGGGAACGATGTTGTTGGCTGTATGCTGGAGTTAAACGTGAAGCTGGTGTTTTGTTGAAGGTAATTAAGTTTGAAGTGGAGATGGTGGTAGGAAAACAGAGAACCCTGGGTTTCTAGAGTTCTTGATTGCTTTCTGGTTTCTGAGATGTAGAGGCTTTTAGTTTTTTATGTTGGTTTTTGTAGTTTGGTAGTGTTTTGAAAGTTATGTAGGCCTAGCTAGCAAGGCTGTTGCTAGCAACACTTGTTGATGAAATACAAACCCACTGATTCATAAAAAAAAATCATTGGTCGAGCGACCTCGAAACTCAACTCGTAACTGGTCATGCTAAGAGGGTTCTCGGGCCTAACTTTAAATGAATATGGTCAAACATAGTCAAACACATTCAAATCTGTAAGTTTTCACTATTTAGTCAAGTAAACTAAGTCAACTAAACCGATCATCTCTATCTTTACCACAAATGCTTCTTATCTTATCTCTAATTTTCAATGCAAATTCGAGTCAACCAAGAGATATCTATTTGGCTAGACGAACATTGACAAACTTGCTATCGAAGTCAAACGGTCAACCCCGAACAACGTCTACATTAATGATAGCTATAAGAAAAAGTTTACAATATTAATTATGGCTAAATTACACATTTGATCACTCAAATTAAATAAATCTTTCACGTTTGCCACTCGAATTACTTATCTTTCTTATTCGCCACTAACTTTATGAATCGTTTCACCATTAGTCACCGACCGTTAGTTTCCGTCAAACACCATTAACTCCGTTAATTTTTTTGATGGCGTGGCAAATGAAACTGCTGACTGGACCGTTAACTTAATGACATGTTAATTAAAAAAATATAAAACAACAAACAAAAAAAAACAGTCTCCCCTGCAACCAAATACCTTTTCCCCCTTATCAGTCTCGTCGTCGTCGCCCTCCGCACCAAATCATCAACCGCCCACCGTAAAGAACCCCTCCAAAATCGCCTCCCACTTCCCTTCCCCCACCGGAAAATACACACCCACACCGTATCCTCAAGTTTGGCTAGCCGCCAAACTTTCACCCTTCCAAAACCCCTCTTTTTATTAAGTCCTAGTCGAGACTATTGCTGGCCCCGGAGATCCATCCACACGAACAGCCCGACGATGCTGGATTTCAGGCACTGGATACCCACCCAGGTCTTGGTTGAGACTATTGTTGCCGCTCTTCCAGTCCTTGTCGACGATCTTGGTGATGCTGCTGTAGTCGGGCTTGCCGAAGACGGTGGCTGAGCAGATCTGATCGCAAATCAAGTGAATGTTGTTATTGGTAGTGAACTGAAGGCGGCGATGCTTCTCAAGGTGTCCCCGTCGAGAATCGTTCCTAGTGGGTTCGATGGGTTGGTCAATAACCTAGGATAAGAAACCAACCACCAAACATACGGGCAAGAAATCGAAAGCCAAAAGAAGAAAATTCAATCGAAAGACAAAAGAAACCAACTGGTCAGCTGCGCTAGTCACAATCGACAAGCGAGTCCGGAGCACCAGTCAACAGGGGACTTCTTGGGTTTAGGTTGGAAGGGGGACATTGGTTTTGGAGTTCATGGAAGGAATGGAAGGCAGCTGGGGCTTCTATAGTGAGGCGAAGGAATGTATGGTGGTTTCTGAAGTTCGGGGAGGAGGAAGGAATCTGGCGTAGGGGTTTCTGGCGTTGCAGGTTTTTTTTTTAATTTTTAATTAACATGTCATTAAGTTAATGGTTCACTCAGCAGTTCCGTTTTCCATGTCATAAAAAGCTGACGGAGTTAACGAAGTTTGATGGAAACTAACGGCCAGTTACTAACGGTGAAACAATACGTAAAGTTAGTGGTGAATAAGAAAGAAAAGTAATTTGAGTGGAAAACGTGAAAGATTTATATAATTTGAGTGACCAAACATGTAATTTAGCCTATTAATTATTATGTAAATGTAATATAATTAAAAAAAATCTATAATTTCCTTCCTCCTCCTCCCCGCTTCCTTCCTTCTTCTTTTGCACCCCAATTAGGAGGGCAAGTCGAAATAGTGAATTTGCACTCATGTTTTGCACCCCAAGCTTGCCCCCTCCCATTTGCACCTTTTTCCAAATGTTGAATTGACTTTTTGTGTCGATTTTCCTTTATAAATAAATGGTAATAAGAAGAACTTCTGTGTTAAAATTTATGATCGACAATCCTTTTTCTAAACTACTATAATTAATGTTATTAAACACATCGTATTCTTCTAACAATACTTATTTATTTTGAGTACAAGGAGGCTGAAAGTCAAGAAGTACACAGAGTTACAGAGTAAGGAAATGATATAAACTATAAAGGAGCTAGCTGGGCGGGAGATGATCCACCACTCAAAACTCAAAATTGATTCCTATAAGTTCATCAATGAAGAATGGAAACTATCTCTGGCGGCGAGGTTGCAACCTCATACATGTCAGTAGTTCGTATAGATAAATAGAGATATACTCCGAAATTTCAGTCCGCAACTCTATTCCCTTATGATATTTATGAGTGATGCTCATTAGTCAATGATAACCTAGTTTCCTCTTGATAGAAGAGAATAAAATGGAGTAAGAATGAACTGAATCATATATGTTGTTGATGAGATGTATCGCAGGCTGAGAGTAAGGTTCATCCACCAGGATTCTACACCATGCCTTCCACGCTAAGCCAAGCCCATAGGAGAAAACCCAAAGCTATGCAAACACATCTGATTATCTGAACTCGTCCATTCATATTGAGCATGGATTGAGAGAGAAAGAGAGTTCTATGCAACTAACTAGATGTGTCAATTTTGTATCCAACCCCTCAATCAAATCTATTCATTCAAATATCAAACTAATCAAATCCAATTGGATTGTTGAAAATTACAGATTAATACCTATATTTTTATATTTTACAATTGATGCATAAAATTTATTTTTAACAAAAATACTATTGAAAAATTACATTTTGATATCTATACCTTTTTATTATGATATTTAAGGAACTTAAACTTTTCAAAATTTACATATTGGTTCAAAACTTAGATAATGTTCCAATCCACCAATCCATTTGATTCTTGGATTCATCAATCCAATCCACAATTTTACCACCTTTACATGCAACCATACAAGATCTAATGTTTGATGTTGAGACCATATAATAATCCTCCAATATAATATAGCAGAGTTTTACAAACTTTTCTCCATTTCAAAATTGTTGGCTTCTCGATTTTCGGTGAGGACAAAATAGTAATTATAGTTTGCATTTTTTATTTATTTTATTCCAAACCCGCCCAAGAAATCACACGTATTCTGCTTGGTTAATCTTTTTTTTTTCTTTCTTTTTTGGTAGAATATTGGTTAGTTATTCTCAGACCTGGCAATCGGGTCGGGTTGGATAATTTCGGGTCGAGACTTTTGGTTACAGGTCGGTTCGTGTTTGCTAGGCTAATTTCGGGTCAAATATTGACACAACCCATTCGGATTCGGGTCGAGTTACAGGTCGTTTCGGGTTATTAGTGTTCTCAGAAACAATATCAAACATGCTTCATATTTTCGTCAAGAACACAAATTTTCACAAATGCATGACAACAGTTTACCTAACACATGTCCATTAACATATTCTCAAATCCTTCCATGCTAATTAAATGAAATACAAATTACACAAATCGTCAAAAAACAATCACAAGAGTAATGTTATTACACGAAACACATGACATTTGATTATCCTTAAGCTCCAAACATATGTCATTCAAATCCATGTGAATTTTTTTAAATATCTCACCAATTTATGAGTGGTTTTATCATTTTGGGAGTGATATATAAAATGGAGCGGGTCTAACGGGTCGACCCGCTAACCCACCCAACCCGACCAAAAAAATTGCGGGTTATTGGGTTCGGGTCATTCGAGTTTTGGGTTATTAAAACTTCTACTTTTCGGGCGGATTCGGGTCGGGTCAACGGATCGGATTGTAATTTGCCAGGTCTAATTCTTTCTGCCATTTACCCATAGTGCGAGTCTGCGACTGCGAGAGTAGTGTTACATTATTTCTTTTCTTTTTTTAATTCTTATTTATTTCATTTGTAATTTAGTGTAGTTCTTGATTAAAAGAGCCTATTTCTTTTTGGATTGCTTTTTTATCGGTTAAGATTTTGTGTTTTTAATCTCATTTTTAAATGAGTTCATAAAAATGATAAAGAGTTTTAACTATTATGTTATTTATAGAGTTGGGATATGTATTTTATTTATAGAGTTTTAACATTAAGAGTTAATGATTTAGTAATTGAGTTAAGAAAAAATAATTATAAGACAACAGAAAAGTGAAAAATGATTTAGTACTAAATAATGAATTACGTAGTTGTTCTATTATACTATTGTTGTAGTTCAAATGATCAATAATTACTTGACACTTAAAAATAAGAACAGTAACTCACATGTTCATCGAATCATAGCTCAATGCTCAAGAAGTTATTGAAATATTGAAAAGATTGCTAGAGAATATTGTGTTTGTAGATGATGTTAATTTTCCATCTTGATATTGACCGCTTAGCTCCATCTAATTACACTTAAGACACACCTAGGTGTCCCCGACTTCCATCATCGCATAATGAATTCTAAAATTGTTGCATAACCCTTAGGTGACTTCTAGACGTAACGTTAAACGCGAATTTTTGAACCATATGCATAAACCACATACAAGAACTTTAACGATGAGATGAATATCATGACTCATAAACATGTCCATAGTATGGTTAAGACTTAAATAATTTTATGGATAAAATATTCAATTGAGAATTATTGATATCCTTACTTAAGATAGTTTATTAAATAATAAATTCAAATATACCGGCCAATCGGCCGGGTAGATGCTAGTTCACAAATATCATACACTATCAACCCCCAAAAATTATGTTCTACACGTACACTTTTTTGGCTCTTGTGAATGTGGACGAGGAAAAATCTCCCCTAATAAGCGGGTGACACCGTTGTATGATAGACTAGGGGTGTGCAATGATTTGGTTCTTACTGGATCACTTAATCAAATCAATGTTTTGATCGGATCATATACCGAACTAATATAATATGTGGCCCCATTAAATTTTTAAAATATTAAAAATGAATCGAATTGACATTTGTACCTGACCAAATCGAACCAAATACAATGTTGATCCGATCTTTGATCATAAAATGTCTTTCACTGTTACAATGCAATTCTCATGAATTTGGCCAGTTCCAACAAGGTCATGACAGAATAACTGAAGCATGATGGACACCGCAGTTTAAATTAGGGATGACAACATAACCCGAACTCACGGGTACCCGACCCGATCCAACCCGGTCAACGCGGATAAAAAACGCATTGACGGATTATGGGTCAGGTTTGGGTTTAAACCCGTTTATTATTTTGCGGGTTGAGTTGGGTTCGAGTTTAGCTATATCCAACCCGTACCCGTCCACAACTATGAATCCCTTACCCACTTCCCATTGGGCATTGCCCAATACTAATCTCCCTTATGTTTGTGGATACATGTCTAATTTGTTCTTCCTAATTAAGTAGAATGAAGTTGATATATATCATGGACTGGAGAGTGAAGAAGCTTAGTTGACAAGGAGGAAGAAGTTTTCAATTAATCATGTAGTTTATGGATGTTTATCTTTAATGTTGAACAATTGATACTTTGTGGTTTGCTTGTATGCTTTAGATTGGTGTTTTTTCTTTAGATAATTTGTATGGGAAGAATGATGTTAGACTTTTATTTTGGTAGAAACTTGTTATTATGCATTTTTTACCACATAACCCATGGATATCCATAAATCCGCGGATATTGTCACGGGATGAGACTTTCGAAGCTCGTGTAGCGTCTTGAGGTGCAATCAACCCTCAATATCAGCCTTCTCTACATACGCATGCCTTGGGCTCATCAGGGAGGCAGCAATAGCCCCGACCAGTTGTGCCTTCACTTGCAACGATCCCTATCATAGCCACATCTTGACTCGACCGTAACGATGCACAAGAAGACAATGTCTTATTGCTAGAGTCACCCCTTTACCCCTCGTGTGGCAAGCTAACCAGAAGACACACGTTCTTCAGACAGTCAACACAGTCAAGACATTTCGGGTCGTGACATTCTCCGCCACTCATAATGCAACACATCCTCGTGCTGGTGAAGAATGTTTCTCTCCGCACCATGTATTGCAACACTCGAACCGATCGTTGGCCTTCACATACAATATCATCCTTTGATGGACATGCTTCATTCGCATCACTCGCGCTAGCCTGCTGTGCCCCGCGCACATACCGCGTCACCACTCGACACCAACCTTCACTCTTCGCTTATGTTGCACTAATCTGATACCACTTGTCACGGGACGAGACTTCCTAAGCCCACGCGACATCTTGAGGTGCACTCAACCCTCAAGACCAGCCTTCTTCACATACACATGCCAACTGGTTTCGCCCTGCTTTGGGCTCATCAGGAAGGGGGAAATAGCCTTCAACCAGTTGTGCCTTCACTTGCAACGATCCCCGTCATTGCCACATTCTGACTCGACCAGAACGATGCACAGGCAGACAACACCTTATCGATAGAGTCACCCCCTTTACCCCTCGTGTGACAAGCTAACCAGAAGACACACTTTTTTCAGACGATCAACACGGTCACTAGATTCCAGGTTGTAACAATATCCAGCGAGTTGAGTTGGATTGGGTTTGACAAAACCCAACCCAATCCAACATATTACCATCCCTAGTTTAAACCCGTACAATGAAGCAGCTGAACCGCACTCTTATGAGCTGTGACTAGCTATCTCCAATATGGCCTAAGTTAAATGGTTTAATTGGTAAATTTGAATGATGTAAGGTTACATGGGCCATTTGTCTTGTACCGGATCCAATAAAGAAGCTCAAGTCTGGGCTTATTTGAACATTGATGATCTGAGTGTCTAAGCCCAGCCCGATTATATGAAAAAATTTCATATTGCAAGAAGGAATAGTGAATATCGCTGATTTCGCATTTCCCGTGGTGAAGCTTGAAACGCAAGCTAATTAAATTAAAGTTCCAAGGACAGGGTTTCGAGCCCTAGTTTCTACACATTTTTTTCCCATCATCCTCTTTCCTCCCGAAAGTATTTCAGACAAACCCTAATTCCTTCCTCTCCCGCCGCTTCCCCCCTCCCCTTCGCCGGTCTCTCCTCTCTAAACCCTGAAAACCTAAACTCATAACCTCTGCCCTCCGCCGAGGAATTTTTTTTGCGGCATTAGAAATTGAAAATGGTGGATTCCAATGTTCACAACGTTAGAAACATCTGCATCCTCGCGCACGTCGATCACGGCAAGACGACGCTCGCCGACCACTTAATCGCCGGGACTGGCGGCGGCCTGCTCCATCCGAAAATGGCCGGGAAGCTCCGGTTCATGGATTTCCTAGACGAGGAGCAGAGGAGAGCCATAACCATGAAGAGCTCCTCGATAGCTCTGAAATTCCGTGATTGTTCGATTAACCTAATCGATTCCCCGGGACACATGGACTTCTGCAGCGAGGTTTCCACCGCAGCTAGGTTGAGCGACGGCGCGTTGGTTTTGGTGGATGCGGTGGAAGGTGTTCATATCCAGACTCATGCTGTTCTCCGCCAAGCTTGGATTGAGAAGCTAACTCCCTGCCTGGTGCTTAATAAGCTGGATAGGTTGATTAGTGAGCTAGAGTTGACTCCCATGGAAGCTTATACAAGGTTGTTGAGGATAGTTCATGAGGTTAATGGGATTATGAGTGGATACAAGTCTGAGAAGTATTTGTCTGATGTTGATTCGATGCTTGCTAGTCAGTCTGGTGAAGTGGGAGATGAGAATCTCGAGTTTGTAGAAGATGATGAGGAGGATACGTTCCAGCCTCAGAAGGGCAATGTGGCTTTCGTTTGTGCTTTAGATGGATGGGGTTTTACTATTAATGAGTTTTCTGAATTTTATGCTTCGAAATTTGGAGCAAGTTCTTCTGCATTAAGGAAGGCTCTTTGGGGTCCTAGATACTTTGACCCCAAGTCTAAGATGATTGTAGGGAAGAAAGGGATAGAAGGATTGAGCAAGGCTCGGCCTATGTTCGTGCAGTTTGTGCTTGAACCTCTATGGCAGGTTTATCAGTCAGCAATGAAGCCAGATGGGGGTAAAGGGTTACTAGATAAAGTAATAAAGTCGTTTAATCTGAATGTTCCTCAACGTGAGCTACAGAATAAGGATCCAAAGCTTGTGCTACAATCAGTTATGAGCCGCTGGCTTCCTTTGTCCGATTCGGTTATGTCAATGGTGGTGAGGTGTATGCCTGATCCAATGGCTGCTCAATCTTTCCGCATTTCACGATTGCTTCCCAATAGGCTTTTACAGGATAAAGTTGACTCTGTTGTTGTTGAAGAGGCTGAACTTGTGAGGAAGTCTGTTGAGCTATGTGATTCTACCCCTGAAGCACCTTGTGTTGCTTTTGTTTCCAAGATGTTTGCTGTTCCAACAAAGCTGCTGCCTAGAAGAGGTCCTAACGGTGAGAGTCTGGAGAATTATGTTGATGAAGATGGAAGTGGAGATTCGGATGAGTGTTTCCTTGCATTTGCTAGAATATTTAGTGGGGTTCTTTGTTCAGGTCAGAAAGTCTTTGTGCTTTCAGCTTTATATGATCCGTTGAAAGGGGACTCAGTTCAGAAGCACGTACAAGAGGCTGAGTTGCAGTCATTGTATCTAATGATGGGTCAGGGCTTGGTCCCAGTAACTTCTGTCAATGCAGGTAATGTTGTTGCAATACGAGGCCTCGGCCAGCACATACTAAAAAGTGCTACTTTGTCTTCCACGAGGAACTGTTGGCCTTTTGCTAGCATGGCTTTCCAAGTTGCTCCAACTCTAAGGGTTGCCATTGAGCCATCCGATCCTGCCGACATTGGTGCCCTAATGAAAGGTTTGAGGCTTCTGAATCGTGCAGATCCATTTGTAGGGGTCACAGTTTCATCTAGAGGAGAGCATGTGCTTGCTGCTGCAGGTGAGGTTCATCTAGAGAGATGTATCAAGGATTTGAAAGAAAGGTTTGCAAAAGTTAATATAGAAGTCTCTCCACCTCTTGTGTCTTATAGAGAGTCTATTGAAGGCGATGCATCAAATCCAGTAGACAATCTGAGGACATTAACTAGTAGTTCCGATTATTTTGAGAAATTGACCCCTAATGGAAGATGCGTTGTTCGTGTCCAAGTGACAAAGCTTCCAGCTGCAGTCACAAAGGTACTTGATGAAAGCACGGAGACACTTGCTGACATTATTGGTGGCAAGCATGGGCAGACAAATGTGGACTTGCCACTGGCACAGGGAACAGGTGTTCTGTTAGATGAGAATCCCATTGAGGCATTCAAGAAAAGGTTAATGGATGCTTTGGAGATTGATATTTCGATGTTAAGCGAGAATGACAAGGACCGGGCTGAAAAGTACAGAATCAAGTGGCAGAAGCTTCTCAAGAGGTTCTGGGCATTTGGTCCAGGCCAGGTTGGCCCTAATATCCTCTTCACTCCAGATCCTAAAATCGAGATCGACGATTCATCTTTTCTTATTGTGGGTTCTCCACTTGTTTCAGAAAGACTAGGGTTGTTGGATGGTTGTAGTAATGACCATCCACCTGCAAGCACATCTTGTGAGATAATTAGTGAAGAATTACGCCTGGAAGCCGAGACTCTTCAAAACAGTATAGTGTCTGGATTTCAGCTAGCAACATCAGCTGGCCCGTTGTGTGATGAACCAATGTGGGGTTTAGGTTTTGTTGTAGAGGCACACATATCTCCTTCAACCGAGCAACCTGACGACCCTGAATCTAAGCATCAACACCTGGAGCAGCATGGCATCTTTCCTGGACAGGTAATGGCTACTGTTAAGGATGCATGCAGAGCTGTGGTACTCCAGAATAAACCCCGTATAGTTGAAGCAATGTACTTCTGCGAACTGAACACTCGAACTGAGCATCTAGGTCGCATGTATGGTGTGCTGAATAAAAGGCGAGCTCGGGTCTTGAAAGAAGAAATGCAGGAAGGGTCACCACTTTTCACTGTTCAGGCTTATGTCCCAGTTTCTGAAAGCTTTGGTTTCGCGGATGATCTCAGGAGAGAGACTTCAGGTGGTGCAAGTGCCCTTCTTGTGCTTAGCCACTGGGAAGCTCTCCCTGAAGATCCTTTCTTTGTACCAAAGACGGAAGAGGAGATTGAAGAGTTTGGAGATGGGTCTAGTGTTCTGCATAACACAGCAAGAAAGCTGATTGACTCTGTAAGGCGACGGAAGGGGTTACCTGTGGAAGAAAAGGTTGTCCAGCATGCTAATAAGCAGAGGACACGGGCTCGTAAAGTGTAGAAGACTAACTTCTCCAGACTTGAATTCTGGTACTTTTAGCAGTTAGCCGATAGTTATGTAAATTAATACGTGCCTTTCTCTTGTTTGTATGACTGGCTGCCTGGTTTCAGCTATCATAAACTGTTTGGATATTTTCCAGTTGCACAATCAAACTTCAACTTCATTGATCAGATTCTTCATGGGTATATAACCTTCAAGGATGTATACAAGTACCAACAACTGATTGTAATTTTTGAGACAGGAATTGGATTGGGAGTTATTTTTCTTTTGCATGGTGTCTTGCTTTCAGAATTGGATTCTTTCTGGAATCTGATAGCAGCAGCAGCAGGTACTTGTCTCGATAATTTACGCTTCTCGTTTAGTTTCACAGCCTTGGCTTCTTTACATGAGTGTACAAAGTTTTGAATATAACATTTATCTCTATGAACAAATAGGTTAAAGAGACCTGGACCGAACTTCTATCTCCAGCATGAGACTTTTAGCAATGGAGTTTCCTTATAACCCAACACCAACTGATTCCCCTCAACTCCTTCAACAGACACCCAATACAAACTCTCTCCTTCCCTCACAAGCTCTCTAGCCTCCTCCACACAGCCTCTCCTCATCCCCCGAGCCTGCAATCTCAGTTCGGCCAGCGCCTTACTCTCCCTAATGATCCCTTCCCACCTCTCAAACCCAGCAATGCAGGCCACATAAGGTGTCAAAAACAGGCACTCCATAGCTACCCTTGCTTCCCTTAGCTTGTAAGGCATGTGTCCTTCCATCGACTCCAGCAGTGCGTAAAACTGCCCCAACTGCCCTTCGAATATGGGACCATACGCCTCCCCTGACATTCCCTTCCCCCACCCTATCCCATCACCAAACGTTATGACCCCTTGGCGGCAGCTGCTGTCGTGGCAGGAGTTGATCGATTCGATCGACTCCTTTGCCACTCTCAGGAACTCCATGACGTGCCCTGCGTTCCTCCCTCGACCCATATGTGGAAGCCCTGCCATGCAGTTAAAAACTAGGCACTGGCCACCGTGTTCTGCATTCCTCTTCACCACCTTCTTTAGCTTGAACTCCAAGTCATCCATGTCGGTCTCCTCCACGATCAGGTTCAAACCAGCAATACGCGCTTGCTCTTGCAGCAACGTCTGGATCTCCTTGTACCTCTGGCTTGTAGGACTGTAACTGATCGCCTCATCATCATCACCACCACCATCATCGTCATCATCACCATCCTCTTCTTCCAAATCATCATTCCATCGAATGATGGTGAGTCTCATCTCGGTAACTCCTCTTGCCGCGAGCCCTTCCATCAGAGGAGGCCACTGGACGCCACAGCCAATGTCGAAGTCCACAATGTCGATCACCACCATCCCTCGCTGCTGCTGCTGATGATGATCATATGGCAGGGCGTCCAGAATCACAGAATTGGCTGTGAAATGAGCGAACTTGCCATACGGGAATATCTGGTAGAAGGCCTTGAAGGCGAGCTCGTAGTTCCTGCTCGCTTCCATCCTCAACATATCTGGATGCTTGCGATCCAGAGCTCGAACCAGGTAGTATACGAGTCGCTGCAGGGTGGTGCCGGTTGGGGATGATTTCTCTTCCAACCTTGATAAGAGTTCTCCGGCCAGGTCTCTCTGATCCATCTCCATTGCCTCTCCGTATGCCTTGAGGAGGTGGAATGTGCTCATTTGATCTTCGAGGTCCATATTCTGGTCTCCAAATTTTGGGAGAAATGGGTCAAGTGTGATGAGGTATATATACTTTTGTGGCGAGTTACAACATGGCAGGAAAATTGGTTATTAGCATATAATGTATGTGTGCTTTGTGGAAGTATATTAGTGTTGACTATGTTGTGTTGTGTTGTGTTGTGTTGCAAATGGTTTTTAGAATAAGTGAAAGAATTCTATCTACCGGTTTCTAATCCAGGTACTTAAATGTGTCAATAACTAATTATAGAATGATTCCTCCCAACTTCTGATTTCTTATTGATTTTTTTTTCTTTCTATAGCACTAAAAAAGTTGAACAAAATTCTACAAAAATAAAGTTAATTTTTTTATCAGTGGCTACCAGCCAAATAATCAATCGTAATGGTCTATTTTATGGATTTGCAGAGGTATTATTCATATAAAAATGAGTCATAACTTATTTTTATGTACACATTTTATATCTTGTCTTGATTGCGATTATATTGAGCTTATTGTTCATAACAAAAGCGAAGACAAAAGCAGAAATGTCCACAAACTATCATATCATTGAACAATGTATGATGGTTTTGGTGCATAATCAAATGCACAACATGGATAGGCAAGAACATAATTTTGTTTTTTTGCAGTTTGTTTGCGCGGACACCACATAATTTGCTAGTTTCAAAATTTGCATGCAATTTATCAATCCATCCGCCCACTTAAATGTCCAACAATTTCAATTCATTTGATTCAGATCTAATTAGATTGATGGATTGTTGGTAAATTACGGTATAACACATTTTTTTTATATATTTTATAATTTGATACCTAAAATTTATTTTTTAACAAAAATTATCATTGGAAAATTACTTTTTTTACCTAATTTTTTATGACGTTTTAGTTCTTAAACTTTTTAAAATTTATATAATGGTCCAATATTTGCCACTTGGATCCATGATCCAATCACCAATCCATGAATCCATTAAATATAATACATTTGACGGATGGATCCATCAATGCATCAACCCAAGAAGTCAATCCATTTGCCACCTCTCAATCATGCTACCCATTCTAACAATTTAGTTGAAGTTTGCGGAACGCAACTAGCCGTTCCATACTCCTCCCCCCACCCACAACCTTCCTATTCTTCTCTCTTCCCTTCCCTAATCCCTCTACAATATTACCGTTCATCTACTTATTATACGCGTTTTCTGCTATACTTTATAAATTTTGTGGCATGCTGGGTTGTTGTATGCTTTCTAAGTTTTGTGTTTGTGGTTATTTTTTGTGCTTATGATTTGTGTTTTGTGGTCTTCCTACATTTAATGCACACATATATGTCCCTCTCCTCCCAATTTTTCATAATGACCTGTGTGCTCTACCTTTATAAATCATCATTAATAATGATTAACTTTTTCAAAATAAATAGTCATCAAAATGTAATGTTAATATTATGTTAACACCCTAATTTTTTTCAACAACGGCCTGGCTTGAGAGAAACCAAAAATGTTTACTTTAAAAAAAATCAAATGTGAGAAAATTGTTTTATGAATAAGTTTTGAAGGAATAATATGAAATATTGTCCAAAATATTTGTGGTAAAATTTTGTTTATTTTTTATATTGATAAGATGCATTCTTGGAGTTTTAACTTGAGTAGTTAAATGGAAAATAGAGAAGGTGTTTTTTTTGCTCCATAATTAGTTCTAGTTGCCCCACCTTTGTCATTGTTGGGAGAATATTTCCCCAGTTGGACCGTCAACAGGCTGGTTTTGTGCAGGTTAAGTTAAGGGTGTGTCTACGGTGACATGCATATCACGGTGACTTGCACTTTCCGGTCGACCACAGTTAGGATTAGGTCGACCTCATATAGAATTCGGTCGACCTCATATAGGATCCGGTCGACCTCATATGTTGTTTCAGTGTAAAAACAGTTCATGGTGCCTACTTTGGATATTCATATAATACAATTGGCTAGATGGAAATTGAAGACTAATGACTTGTTTTGAAGCTGGAGTGTCCCTCTACATATTGAAGTGATTGAGAGCTCGATAGGAAGTCCAGAAGACCATTTTTGAACCTCATCAAAAGGCTATGCCAAAACTGGGAAACTGCCTAGAAATGGCTAAGTCTGGAAACGTGTTTGTGAAGCCTATTTTTGAGCTCAATTCGAGAAGGATGAATGGGAGTTGAGTCTAGGAGCCTCTACCACGTTAAATTAGGTATGTTTTTATACAAATTCAAGGAATTGGATGAAAGATTGGATATCTTTAAGGCTTCAAACAAAAGGGTCGAAGTTGCTACGAAGGCTGTTTTTCTGGCAGACTTCGAGCACAAGCAAGCTGCCAGAAAAACAGCCTTCGTAGCAACTTCGAGCCTTTTGTTTGAAGCCTTAAAGATATTAAATCTTTCATTCAATGCCTTGCATTTGTATAAAAAAATACGTAATTTAATGTGGTAAAGGCCCCTGGACTTGACTCGCATCCATGCTTTTGAAATTGAGCTCCAAAGTAGGCTTGACAAACACGTTGCCAGACTTAGCCATTTTCAGGCAGTTTCCCAGTTTTGGCATAGCCTTTTGGTCAGGTTCAAAAATGGTCTTCTGGACTTTCTATTGAGCTCCCAAGTACTTTAATGTGTAGAGGGACACTTCAGCTTCAAAACAAGCCTTTAATCTCCAATTTCCATCTAGCCAATTGTAAGATATGAATCTCCAAAGTAGGCACCATGAAACTGTTTGTACACTGAAACAACTGATTAGGTCGACCTGATCTTATATGAGGTCGACCGAAAAGTGCATGTCACCGTAGCAAAGTCCTAAGTTAATTAATATATATAAACGTGAATAATGTTTACTGTTCAGTAAATTATTATATTTTAATACTCCAAATTTAATTAAATTACAATTTAGTTACTACAATGTATATTTTACATTTTGGTATCCCAACTTTAATTTTAATGTAAAATCATTGAACAATTATGTTTGGTATCTAAATTTTATGAGATTTTGCTACCTACAATTTTTACTTTTACATATTGGTCCAATGTTTAGATTTCACTTGAATCCATGAATCCAATCCACCATTCGTTTTGAACTAATCCATGAATCCAATTCTCCATAATATAAAAGTATAAATTTAGTTTGTACCATACAAGATGTTGTATCACTCAATTGCAGGAGAAGATTCGACCATTTTATATTTGCTCATTACGTGAAACATTAAAAATATGATAAAATAGAGACGATTCTAAAATATTGCAAGAGCGAATTTATAAACTCATTTAGTACATTTACGGGGTACTAAATAAACTTCTACTAACTACATGTGAATAGGGTTGACTGTTGTATTGACGGCCAACTAAAAGAATTAGTCAAAACCTTTTCATCATCTACTTCCCCTTCGTTTCATTTTTCACTCGCCTTTCATAACATTTTCTTTATTTTTTTCTTTGCCTTCTTCGTCTAACCCTAATTAGTATATTATTTTTGTGTATTCTAATTACAATTACAAATATGAACTGGTCCATACACGACTGACCAACACTCTAGAGAATTAATAATTAAACCATGAACCACTAATTTTTTCAGCTCAATGTCGAGTCCAATTAAAAAAGAATATATATGGTTATTACTTATTAGAAAGTCGTCATTTTCCACTATGGGATTTGAAGGCATGAAATTTTAAACAAGTTCCAGTTTGTATTCCTTTTGCTTCTCTCTAGAGTTTTTTTTTCACCCGAACTAGAGTTTTCAACACTTATACATTGAATTTTTAACAATTATGTATATCAAATAAATAGTTTTCTATTTGCTATATAAAAGTAAATAATTATCATCTCAAATGCATCACCATAAAAGAAATTAAGCCTCAACTATGCAAATTACAATCAGGTAACTAAACTTAATAGATCTTTAGATTTATAACCTACAATTATTTTTTTGGCATATAAGTCTTCAAAATATTTATGAAACATTACATTATAGTACCTAATTTTTTTTGTATTACATCTTAGTACCTGAACTTTTGAAGTTCTACAAATAAGTCTAATTTTTGTATGTGTAATTAAAACACCTTCAAATAAATGGATATACATACCAACTCATACACATTTAGATTATGATAGTAAATATTCATACACTACCCAAACCCATCTACAAACTTTCAGACCCATATATACATCACCCATACCCTACCCATAATCAATGAGTCTACTTGAGTTTAGGTAAATATGATTCATTAGCCAAAGTTTTTAAATTGGATGTTGACAACCATATATCTATTCTCAGTCAATATCATATTGTCAAGTCAATATTATTAACAAAACTGTTAAGAAAAAAAAATCAATTTTAAGCTAATAATACTAACAAAATACCATAGTGGGCCTCATAATACATGCTCATAGGCCATCTCAGCCTCGCGACAAGTCGCGGCATCGCCATCTAGTAATATGTTGAAAGCTCTAAAATTGGATTTTTAGTTTAGATGCCGCAATGTAGTTTTAGGGAATACTTTTTAGGACTTTGCTACGGTGACATGCATGTCACGGTGACATGCACTTTTCGGTCGACCTCATATAGGATCAGGTCGACCTAATCAGTTTTTCCGTGTAAAAACAGTTTCATGGTGCCTACTTTGGAGATTCATATCTTACAATTGGCTAGATGGAAATTGGAGATTAAAGGCTTGTTTTGAAGCTGAAGTGTCCCTCTACACATTAAAGTACTTGGGAGCTCAATAGAAAGTCAAGAAGACCATTTTTGAACCTGGCCAAAAGGCTATGCCAAAACTGGGAAACTGCCTGAAAATGGCCAAGTCTGGCAACGTGTTTGTCAAGCCTACTTTGGAGCTCAATTTGAGAAGCATGGATGCGAGTCAAGTCCAGGGGCCTCTACCACGTTAAATTACGTATTTTTTTATACAAAGGCAAGGCATTGAATGAAAGATTGAATATCTTTAAGGCTTCAAACAAAAGGCTCAAAGTTGCTACGAAGGCTGTTTTTCTGGCAGCTTGCTTGTGCTC